GACCAGGGGAGGACTCACAGAGGCCTTTGGGAGGAAAGATGACAATTGAACTGCATCTTTAAAAATGAGAGGAGATGGCCGGTGAAGACGGGTGGGGAAAGGACTCAATTTAAACAAAGACAGTCACATGTACAAATGTCACAGGCATGAAAAATCTTTGAGGATAGTGCAAGTCACTGAGAATGGCTGAAGCAAGCAGACAGGAACACTAGGTGTAGCTGGAGAAGTATTCAGAGATCCAATGGTGAAACTAAACACAACCGTAAACGATTCGAGCTTCAAGATATGAGGAGCCATTGAAAAATTTTGAGGCAATAGGCAAAATAGGTGTCTGAGTTTTGTGCAGGCCACTGAGACAGCTGGGAGGGGGATAAATGTGAGGGTGACCAGACCGGAGGTAGAAAGATCAGTGAGGAACTGATTTAGTTTAGCTTAAGTTAGTTTAATTAAACTCCATTAGTTTAATTCAGTAAGAAAAGAGAGTAGTTGGCAGTAGACTGCAGAATAGGCAGTTTTAGTACAAGAGCTCGAGCTCAAGGTACAGATTTGGGAGTCGAGGCTATTTTAAGTGACAGTTGAGCTTTGGGAGAAAGGGCAGCGAGGGAAGAAAACGAGGAGCAAACTCTGCAGGACTCCAGGGTTTAGAGGCAGGCAAAGGTGGCCAAGCTCTTGAAGGAGACGAGGAGAGAGATGGGCGTGAACCCATGGACAAGAGCAGAGTCCAGCGGCAGGAATAAGGGCGGCCGTCAGGTCTCCGGCTGACCTTGGCCAGAATGATTTCAGTAGCATGGCAGGCAGTGGGGGATCCAAATTTCACAGGGTGCAGGAATTAACTGGAGATGAGGAACTAAGGAGACCGAGCATCGGCTACTTTCTCTTCCCAACAAGGCTGGCCATGAAGAAAAGCAGAGACCCAGGGCAGCAGACAGGTGTTGTTATTGCGGTTACTGCTTTCAAGTCGGGGGAGGCATAAATACATGCATACGCTGATTGTTTTTTTTTAATGTGATGGAGAAGATGATGATCCAGGAAATAGAAGAATCAAAACAGTAAGTTCCCAAAGGAGGTGAGAGTACAGGCAGGCGCCCAGCCCCAGTCGTGGGTACCGCACCTCAGCTGAGACAGGCAGGAGGGGCAAGGCTGGGGGTACGGACAGTTTGGGGGTTAGAAGAAGGGAAACTGATGCCCCCATTTGTGGTCCCTATTTTCTCTGTGAAATCATTACTGAGAGTAAGGATGAACGGGATGAACAAAGCGGCTTAAAGAGAGTGTTAAAAGTTTAGGTGCTGGGCCGGCCGAGTGGCGTGATGGTTAAGAACTGGCTTGGGCTGCCAGAGGGCCCCGGTTCGGATCCCACATATGAGGGCCAGTGACACTGCCCTCTACAGCTAAGATGCTGAACAACAGCTCAACCTGGAGCTGGGCTGCCCTGAGTCGCCGGCGACGGCGTAGGCTGCAGCCCCTGTGGCAGTGGGTTGCCATGGGCTACCGTGTGTAGCCAACAGCCGCAGTGAGTGGCCAGCAGCCACAGTGAGCGGCCGTCCAGAAGCCGGCGACTGATCTGCCTCGCCCGGGAAGAGCGCAATGATGGTGCCAACTTGGGCCAGTGAAGCAACGTCCTCCACAACTAGACTGAAGAACAAAACGACAGCAACTTGTCTGTTCCCCTTCCCCCAATTCCCCAGCGCTGTTCCCATCCTCCAATTCCCCAATAAAATCTTTAAAAAAAAAAAGTTTAGGTGCTGCAACACCGGAAGTGCCCCCCTAACGAGTGGGGGCTGCGGATGGAGGGCGGCCCCAGTTCACGCAGAGGGACAGTCCCCTCCGAGCTCCTCAGCAGCCTGGGGGAGAGGGACATGCAGACAAACGGGACCTCTGCCCAGCCGTGGGGCTTCAGTTAATCCTGAAGTTAATCCAGGCAGAACTGAAGTTAGTGAAAGGCCCAGTTGGGCGGGCGGTCAGTTTATGGCCTGTCAGCTCCACATAGTCAGCCTGCTTGCCTCTCTGTGAAAGTCATTCTGGGCCCCTTGCCTTTGCTGGCTGGCACGGGGTGGAGAGGTGCCGGCCCTGGAGGGACGCGGCGAGAGGAAAAGGCGAGCTCGGAGGGCGGGCTCGCGCAGCCACAGCCCCCAGCGGCGCCGCCCCCACCCCGAGCGGCTTTGTAGCGGAGGGCCTCCAGTGAGACAGCTCCCCATGGATGGCTCTTCCCTTCAGACACGCTTCAGGGGGCAAATTTCCAGCAAGTTCTGCCAGCACAGCACGAGAACAGCTTTTCTACCATTCGGTGAGCAGAGGTCCTCTTCCCTCGGTGCCCCCCGAAGGGCAGCCCCTCGACTCCTTCCCTAGAGCCACTGTCCCCACACTCAGCAGCTCTCGTGGCTTCTTGCGGGCCACCCCCTCACACGCTCACCCCCGGCCATGGTTAACACTTTGTTACGGTCCAACTGCTCCGTGGCTCCTCTCCTGACAGGACACAGGCTGGCACGACGGTCAGGAAAGAAGATAAATAAGATCAGGAGACAGGTGGGATGGAAGAAAACAGAGGCCACAGGACCCTCACGGAAGGCTTTTTACAGGAAAGGGAAGCCGCGAGCGGAGAAGCCGGCAGATGTCACGCCTGGGCTAGGCGCTTAGTCTTGGGGTTTGCGCCCGTAACTATTCTTCAGTGAAGAGAGTGGCAGAGTCAGCAGCAATCGGAGGGAGAAAGCTGGGTTTTATTGAAGGCAAACTAAAAAATGTATTGAGAAGATAGTACAGATACACAACCACCGCGGATCCAGAGAGCATAATGGAAAGAGTGGCTCGACGGGTGGAGAGCAGAGACTACAAGGCAAAGTGTCTGGGAACAAGCTGTCTCATCCCATCAGGACCGAATGCTGGTTTTCCGGTAAGTTGGATGCAATGGGAAATGATACAAACAATTTTAAAAAAGATTTATACATACCACAGACACTTTATATAACTTAAAATGTGCACACATGAGCCGGTCTTTTGATGTATGACCAAGGCCTGCTTTCTGCATATGGACCTGCTGACTGGAGTTATGCATCTTCTCTGTCTTACATAAACCACATCCTTCAGCCACGATTCCCAGCTTCGCTCGCTTTCAAGTGGAGGGAGAACCTGAAGACACTGGGAAGTCACCTAAATGCAGAGCCCATCTAGATTTTCACAGCACCCCCCACATTCTTATAGCATAGTCCGGCCCGCACCCAGGCAAGGGCAAAGCTTTCGTAGCCAGTCCTGACCGTCTTTCCAAAGCTGTTTTTCTAGAAACAAAACTCGAAGTCTGTTCTGCAGTTGGTCAGTGTATTTACTCTTCGTCTAAACTGTTTAAGTAAAATAAGAACTACAACTGGGTGAAAAGGTTTGAGGACAAACTCAACACAGCTGGCCCTTGGGAAGAAGACAGCTTAACTACTGGGAGCAGGAGTATGCCGGCTGCCCACAGCAGGGTCCTTGGCTGAAGACATGGGGGTGCTGAGGGCAGCTGGAACGGTTAGGTCTCTGCATCCCTCACGAGGAGGCCAGTTAAGAGAGCTTTAACTGGACAGGCGACAAGGCTGAATGCAGTTAGAGGTGCAGGCGAGGATGGGGGAGGTGAAGTATTATTTAAGAACTGGCTTCGTGTTTCCCAATGGACAGCTGACATGTTGGGTTTTTTCCTTCCCTTGTGCATCCTTTACCCTGTCCTTGCCTCTTAACTTCTATGGATTTTACTATTTTGGGGGAGATTAAGTAGGACTTTAAGGAATCAGGTGTAATATCAGTAGGAGGCCTAGAGACGGGGTCCGAAGCTCCCCAAGCTGGTTCCACGTAACCCCTTGACTTCCAGCTTGGACATCTAGGAATTCGGCTTACTTCATTCCTCTTTTACCACTTACATCTTTTCTTCATCTGAGTTGTTCTTCCAGGTTATTGGGGACCAATATTCATTCTTGTTCCCATCCTCTGTCTCTTTCATTCTGTCTCTTGCTTCCCACTGGATTTTTAGAGGTTGCTCATAGTAACCATACAGAAAGGGAAAGGTAACAAAACCAGGAGTATCTATACTGTCAAGAAACAATCTATGTACTGGTGCTAACTGTCCTGGGACTAGGCCTACCCTACCCTAAACATCATCACTAATTCCCTTACGTTTTCCAGTACCAGGTACCCCTCTCACATCCTTATGGGATGGATGGATTCTAGCACGACTCTGCCAAGTTCCTCAGGGAGGAGGCCCCAGATTCGGAAGTCTCCCCACCCCCACCCCCATCACTCTATACCTTAGATTCTGTAGGCATGATAAGGTAGTCACAGCCGCTTATAGATTAGCAATCATTTACTGAGCAATTACTGTGGGTAATCAACGTGTTAAGGGACCCATGGGCTTCAGACATCCTCTTGTTTAATCCCCACGAAGGCGGTATTATTATTACCATTATCAGCCCCATTTCAAGAGAAATTAACAAAACTCTAGGGATTGAGCATGGTGCTCAAGGTCACACAGCAAGTAAGGAACAGAGCCAGGATTGGCATCTAGGTAACTGGGCCTCAGAGGCTGAGCTCTTAACTACCACACCAGGCTGCCCCTTCCCAGAATGTGCCAGGTTCAAGTGGAATTCATTTAAAATTTAGAATAGCTTCCTTACTGATATACACAATAGCAATGATTTCCTTCCCCTGACAATGACCCCCATCCGTGCACCACAGGAAAAACCAGTGTAGGGCATTTGCCTATTGGTTCTAAAGTGACGTTTCCCTGTTTAAGACAACAAGGAGAAAATTAGCTGACTAAAACGTAATCTTTCTGGCTTAAGCGTTTGGAATGTGGTGATAGGTAATATGCCCATCTTTCACGAAAGCAATTCGCACTCAGTACTTTTCACAACACCTGCCCTTGAGTCAACACCCCACCTTCCATGACAAAGTGAGGGGTTGGGGAAAGAGACAGGCAGGGGGGTGGAAAAGATGGGTAAACCAGATACTTGTGGGAAAGTAAAATAATTCCAACTTACCTTTTTGGTACACTTCTTGACGGTATTGATTAATTCTTGTATTACCAGATCTACGCTCTTCAAGGAAGGCCCTTTCAGCTTTACAATTTGTTTTTTGACTATCGCTTCAAAAGCCATGTCTGGGGTAAACAACCCTGTCCTGAATTTAAAAAGAAAGCAGCATGTTAGATTTTTTTTAATTGAGTAATATCCAGTACTCTTTTGAAGACGTTTTCATTGACATGTCATTTAAAGCATGTACTATCCAAGTTTAAAAGTGACACAGTGATTTACTCTATCCACAGTATCATTTGTAATAATATCTTTAGTACTAATATTCCATAATAAATTCTATTCTATAGATGACTAACATCATCCAAAAATAGTCCCCAAAATGCTTTCATAGTGTGTAACGTGGCCTTTAACTAACATTTAACTGTAATTTGTCTCATCTCACAGTTTCACAGCAATAAAAAGGAATGTCACAATAGAAATGGTGTCCTAAATTTACATTCCTTTCTAAATACAGTTATACCTTGGTTTGCGAGCATAATTTGTTCTGGAAACAAACTACTCATATTGCAAGACATCGCTCATTTACCACATGAAAATATATTAGAAATGTTTGCTCGTCTTGTGGAACACTCGCAAACCACATTACTCGCAATCCAAGGTTTTACTGTATTCCCAAAGCAATCCTCTCTTATCTTTCGTGGAGTAGGGAGTGATCCTCATTTTTGAATGCTGACATAGCAGTGTGGGTGGACTATACAACCTACAGGAGAACTGTATGATAGTGAGCTCAGGGGGTCCCGGGCTGAGGTCCTGGCGAGCTGGCAGGAAAAGAAGGCAGATAAGTGGACGAGCTTGAAACCCACGATGCCCAAATGGTGACTTTACAAAAGTAACAAACAATAAGCAGAATAGCAAGTATCCTTTTCCTCTGGCTAGACTTAATTCAAACTGGTATTGTAATGATGCTTTTCTCATACTGTGCGGGAACTCGGGAAACCAGACACGTGTGTGTTTGTGTGCGTTTCATAAATAGTGAAACATGTTTACTCACATCTAAACAGAAGGCCAATGGAGAAAAGCTGCCATAAGAGGGGGCCCTGAGCCCTGAGCGATACCCAAAGACCCACAGGCTCCAGGCACTGGCACTTGACCTTCCCCGTTCCCAGACCCTCCTCTGTCCGCTTTTCACATCTGACCTGATTAACTGCCCTTCCTGCAACACTCCTTTCTGATCCTTCTGGGAAATTTCTTTGCCACTTACTTCCCTGACACCAGCTTTATTCTGCTCTGCGTCCCTTCTTACCGCTTACTGAGCACGTTTGGCTTCCCTCTGTTTCTAACTGTAGCGATCACACCACATTGTAAGCGCTCTGCCTCACATACAGAAAAAACCCACACCCTTTAGTCTAACGTTAAAATTTTCCCTGTCAGAGCCTAAGCTCCCTTTCATGTTTTTCTCCTTCCTTTTATGCGGCCTATGTTTCGGCCACACTGGACCCTTGCCTTTCCGCAAAAACACTCACAGTAATAGCTTAGGTCCCTGCCTTCATCGGTGATGTTCGCTGCAGCCTCCTCACAACGTCAGCCTGTCCAAATCCTGCCTGTGCTTCAAAGCTCAGATCAAAGGAGCCACTTCCGACCGCGTGCCTTCTCTAGTCCGGCCACTGACACGGTCTTCCCTCTCTGAACCCCAACACCCCATTTTCATTGCAGGGGTCTGGGCACGTGTTTTAGTCCCATCACTGCACTGGGAGAAGGGTCGTTGTTGCCTTTATCTTTGCGTGTCCCTCAAGGGCTGACTGGCCCCCTCCCTTGCTCAGCATTGGCAGAACAAAGAGGGACCAGCGGGTACCTCGTGGGCCAAGATGGCTTCCATTACTCAGATGCCCCACAGAACCAGCTGGGAACAACACTTTTCAGAAGTGTATTTAAGGGCATAAATAATCACACCATTAGTATGTCATGCTCGGGACACTGTGTACTTTTTATCATCTTACAGGCAAATTAACTCCAGCATAACACTAACAGCCAGCCTCTCTCCTGCTGGTGTGCACATAAATCAGAAATCTACGACCCTGAGTTACTGAGCGTTTGCAGTTACGTTCAACAAAAGTGTATCTGGTGAGGAGTTTTAAGAGCCAAGTAAAGGCACTGTATTTGGCTTAAGTGAAAATGCTTGATGACCCCAAACTGTGATTTGGTTCCACTGTGTTTTCAGAGAGTCATGTCCTAGTTCTGCCCAGTTAAAGAGCAAGACACAGTTTCTATACCAAATGCATTCTGGGTTGGAGGGAGAGGGACGAGAACTAATAGGGAACTTAGAACTCCTGCTGACGGTCCGAGAAACTGGACTTGGTTATAGGTGCTTTCTCCTTTTCGCTGTGTGAACACACATGTACCCGTACTACTGGAGACTCATAGAGGGGACCGCCTTAAAATGACAGCTAATTCAAATGGCGTAACTCCTTTGGAAAATCACCCATCACGTGCACACTCCCCATCAAGCTTTGTCCCCTCAGGCCCTGCTCCCCAAACACGTAGCCCTGTGGCGGAAGCTGAGGTACAGTGGCCAGTAGACAGGGGACGGCTCCTTCATGTGAGCACATCCCTGAAGTAGGGTGACCTTGACTTCAGGACGCCTCAATTTAACATCTGTCCATTAAATTTTGCTTAGCCTTTTGTACATCAACTCAAAAAATAGCTCTGTGCGTGCGCGCACGCGCGCGCGTGTGTGTGTGTGTGTGTGTGTGTGTGTGTGTGTGTGTGTGTGTGTGTATTTGTTTTTAAACTTTACTGGGGAACAGTGAATTTTTCCAGGACCCATCAGCTCCAAGTCAAGTAGGTGCTTTCAATCTAGTTGTGGAGGGCGCAGCTCAGTGGCCTATGTGGGAATCGAATTGGCAACCTTGGTGTTCAGAGCAACGTGCTCTAACCACTTGAGCTAACTGGCTGCCCCCAAAAATAGCTGTTTGAAATTCATTGTTTCTTATGATACTTCTTTAAAGAAAGTACAAGGAAATTCCACTTTATACAGGGTATATTCAGGCACAAGTCCCACTCCTGGCCTCTCGTCCCCGTGCTTGGCCTTCTGCAGTCCCAACCCCAGTCCACACGCACGGTTCCCTGCCCAGTGGGCACATGCCACCCTTCCCCATCTCTGTGCCTAGGCTCACATTGCTCGTTCCACTTCAAGCCATCTCTCCTATCCTCGGGCCCCAACGCTCTCCACCCTCTCATGCCTCATGGCACTGCCCCGTCCACAGGTGTGCGCGCGCGCGCACGCGCACGCACACACACACACACACCTTCGCCTGTTGAAAGCATCCTTGTCCTGCACACAGGCGAGGCTCAGCTCAAGAGTTACCACCTTCATGAATCCTTGCCCCACGGCTCCACCATAACCAACCTGTCCTGCCTGTGTCAGTGATCGTGGCTTACATGCCGGGCCTCCCTCCCTGACACCCACGGCTCTGGAGAACGGGGCTTGCTCACGGGGGGAATCACGTAAGCCGCGCTGAGAGTGAAACGTGCTTTTGTTCTTCTAACTGGAAAATACCGAGTAGGACAGCACAGGAAATCACCACTGAACCCAAACTAGGATTTCCTACTCCTTCCTCCCGCCCTGGGCTCCAGATGATGAAAAGGCTGCCTCGCGAGGCATTTATAAACATTCATTTTCTCTTAGTAGCTTCAACTGCAGACGAGGGAACCGTGAATCACTTGCCTGATGCCGTGTATGTTTTTGATTGCATAGCTTATTTCTCTTCGCAGTTCTTTCTCATTGAACTCCATCTGCAGAGGGAAAACGAGACACAGCTATGACACCTAATTCCGCTGCACAATAATATTATTGAATATTAAAGAATGAGAATGCTTTGGCTGCGTGATTAATAAATGGATACTCATGTCTTTCCCAACTTTAACCCAGATGGTCAAAACATCTGTTTATATGAAGTTCAAGGCAACACAGAACATCGGGGATTTCTGGGAGTTTAGTGTCAGTACAGCAGGTTTTAACTCGACTCCAAATAAGGAGCACTGTGCATGGAGGAGGCCTTCTGGGCAGAAATCTGGCCATTCATTTGAAAGCTGTAATTATTCATTCTCTCGCTGAATGTAGTAAATATGCTCACAGACGAGTGCACAAACAGGAATGTCACCTGACGTGCAGCAGTGGTCCAGCTGTGCCGGGAGGAACAACGGCTATCTTTGCTCCTTGGCCGCTGTAACCATGTGAGTTCAAGGCCACTTTCTTTATAAGAGGAAATAATAGCATTTTACCAGTGCAGCACAGGACAGACTGCTGTGCAAACATTTCCCAGGAGTTCTAGGTCCCTGAAATTCATTTGGAAGTAGGATCAAAGCACCATGGAGCTTAGAGCAGAAAGGGTAGTGAGAGAATGTTCGGGTCAGCCCCTGACCCCTGAGATGTGGCCCCTTCGGCCTCGCCGTCTGTCCATTTTCCCCTCACACTGAGCCCCAAGGCAGTGAATCTCCTCAGCTCCCCGCCGACGCCATGTGGCCCCACCGTCCAGCCGTTACTGTTCCTCCCCTTCTGTCGGGAGCCACCTCCCTGCGCAGCCTCAGCCCACCTCCTGCTTAAGGAGCTCTCCGTCCTTCCACACTCCACTCAGGAGCCCGGCTCCCTGGCGCATAGGCAGGGATTCGCGTCTGTGGGCTGGGTTTCCACAACACCCCATGCTGAGGTTTATCACTTTCCTTGGCACACGTTAAGGAAACGTTCATTTACCCATCTGCCTCCCACACCAAGATGTAAGCATCTGCCCCGGACACGAGGCGAGCGGCACCGTCCCGGGCACTTCAACCCGTAACACGTCCAAAATGAAACCCTTGATTCGTACCTTCACACACACTCAGTTTTTCCTCAGTTTCCCTCAGCTGACAGGCACTACCATTTGTTCAGGGGTGCATGCCAAAACCCTGGGGGTCCCCCTGAAGCTTCTCTTTCTTGAACCCCCCTGTCAGCCCAAGCCCTACTGACCCTACTTCCCAACCCACAAACCCACCCACTTCTCTCCATCCTCTCTTCTGAGGCACTTTTACTATGAGCTACAGACATTGAAGTTTCAGGGCTTCTTCCTGCAGAAGCCGCTTCCAAGCCCCCGAGCCTCACTGTGCGTTTAGGATTTTGTATTCCTCTTCAAGGGGGCCCCCAAATTGGATAAGCTTCAGGCCCCAGAGAAAGCGGCTCCGTGCCTGCTCTGGCCCTGCATTTAACTCACCTGACTCATCTTCCTCTGCAATCCAGCCCTATAGTGTTCTTTCAAAATCATCAACCAATCAGGTTCCGTCTTTTTTTTTTTTTTAAGCTGAGCCATCCTGCCACCTGTTGGCAGCTCAGCAGCAGCTCAGCTCGGGCCAGGACTTGAACTGCTGTTGCTCAGAGCTTGCACTAGATCCCACCTTTTCTTAAAACCCTCCTCTGACTTCCCATCCTTAGATGTAAACACCGCAGGGCTCCTAGAAAGCCCTGAATAAATGGGCATGTCTTTCCTCTCAATTCACTTCATATCCCGTCCCCTTCATCAGCTCTGTGCGGCCTCTACTGCTCTTCACCTGCCGTACAGATGCTCGCTTTACAGCTGGCCTCATCCTGCCTGCTTGCCTCCAATGACCCTCTTCCCCAGCTCCTCCCAGCTGGCCTCTTCAGGCCATTCTGCTCATGTTTTCAAGGATCCCTACTCAGGGACACTTTGACTGAACACCCCATCAAAAGTGGCTCCCCCAACCCTCCCCCTCACACACACACACACACACACACACACACACACACACACACGTTACGTAACAACACTTGAGAACGTCTTACTTTGTCTATCTCTTCATTTTCGGTCTTGCCCCACCACACAGTGTCTCTGTCTTGATCATAAGCACTTAGTACTTGGGCACAGAGTAGGTGCTCAAGAAATTGTTTTAAATTAATTAGGCAGCTAAGAAGCACCATAGGACCCCAATGCATATTTGTTGAAGTAATCTGAAATGTCATTAGATCCCACTAAATGCAATCAGAAGCACCGGTGAGAAAACAGTTCTCTCCTGAATTTCATTCCCTGAGTCTGACAGCTTTTGTTCATAGAACTATCTTAGTCCCGCCCCACTCACACAGCACTTCATGAACAGTTATGTAGCACAGAAAATGGAAATGAAGGGAAATGAAAGGGGAAAAACGTAATGTGTGGTACAAACCTTCACTATCTCAAAAGGAAAGCGTTCGTGAAAAATACGATTGATTTTTGCGCCCCCTGAGAGCTCCAGAGTATCGACTTGGTCCCCTGAGCCTTCGATTCTCTTCTCGAAGTCCACAGCGAATTGCTGGACCATCCTGTGATTGTGCAAGAGAAAGCAATGCAAGGGGAAGTGAGCAGGCTTCACATGGGTTGTGCTCATTTACTGCGCCCGGCCCTCAGAAACCTTTTCCTCGTGTTCTTAGTGGCACCTACTGGCAGAAGTAACACTGCTCTCTGCTCGGCCCTCAAACTGTCATTCCCTGAAAGGCACGTCACTGAGATTGACTTTAGACCTTTAATGAGAATGCACATCCTAAATAACCATTAAACACATCTGTATATATAGTTGCGGCCATAAAATGGCATTGGAAAATACTTAAGAACTGACGTTAAGCAATGACACTTTGTGCCGAATAGTCGCACGAACCTCTGCTCCTGTGACATCGTGCTCCATGGCCCCAGCTGAGCCCCTCACTCTGGGACCTACTCTCCCCAGCGCCAGGGACCTCACACTGCCAGGACAGCTTACACTTGGGACCCTCTGTCTCTGCAACTAGCCTAGTCTTATTTCTCAGAGTCCCCACCATTTGATAATAAAATTAAAACCCCTTAATCCAGCACCCAGGTTCTCCAGGGTCTGGCCCACGCTGCCCCATCTCTCACTCCTTCCACACTCACCATGACCACCAACCACTTCCCATGCTCCCCACACCCACCGGGCCCCTGCGCCTGGTCCCTCCTGTGCAGACTACCGTTCTTTCTGCTCCTTGCATCTCTGCCTGGCTAATCTCTATCTGCCCTTCAAGTCTCAATTCTGGGACGAGTTTTTCAGGGAGACATCCCATGATCCCAGGCCCTGACCGCCACCTCTCCCCACTGCCACCCAGGTGCGGCCCATCCTCTGCTCCCTGGGAAAATTGTCAGCATAGCCCTCGGCAGAGCACATCGCCATTGGTCATCCGCCCGGCTCTCTCCTAAGGGCAGGGTCTGTGCATTTTGGTTACTTTCTCCTGCTCAACATAGGAGAGGCACCCACTAAGTTCAATAAAGGAAGGGGTTACCTCAAGGTGGTCGGTAAAAAAGTAAGTAAATAAACAAAGGAAGGCACTACAGGGAAAAAAACAAACCCCTGGCGTTGTGATTGCTCGGTGCGGACACTCTAATTTTGACACCCTGGAAGTGCTTTCAAGTTCAAAACCCAATAGGAGAAAATATCAAACCATCTAAACCTTGCAGCGTCTTTTATTCACTTCCATCAACATCATGGATTAAAAGTAACTGCAAATTACTAGACCAGAGTATCTAGAATAAAATTGGATGTAGCTATAGTCATGCATATGCTAATGCAAAGCTAATTTTTAAACACCTGGAAGAGTCTATAGATAAATATATAGATATATAGACATATATATAGAGATAGAGATAGACATATAGATATAGATATAGAATAGATATAGATATAGATACATATGACATATATGACATACTGGGAAACCGTAGGAAACTTACCTGCAGCCACTCCTCTCCCCGGCCCTACCTGCAGCCCCCTGAGCCACAGAACAAGCTGCACCACAGTTCACGCTGCTCTCTTGCCCGCCTCCCACCCGCCAAAGTCCTTCCATATTTGCGGGTCTCATTCAAGTACCACTTTCTCTGTGAGCGCACACCCTTCCTCAATGTGGCTGCTTCTGCTTCCTCATCTGGGCTCCCTTAACATTTTATACTTACCAGAGACACCACATTTATTGGACTAGTTTCTTATAAGTCTGTTCCCTCTGCTGTACAGTGGCCTCTTCTTGAGGCCAAAAATCTTATTTATTGGTGAATTCCTGGTAGATAGCACAGAGCCAGACACCAGGTAGAATACACAGAGATGAGAGGAAGGCAGGCAGAAAGGGAGGAAGAAAAAAGGGAGGGAGGGAAGGAGGAAAGAAGGAAGGGAGTAAAAAAGGAAGGAAGGAAGGAAGGAAGGAAGGAAGGAAGGAAGGAAGGAAGGAAGGAAAAAAGGAAGGAAGGAAGGAGGGGGGAGCGAAGGAAGGGGAGTGAAGAGAGGGTGGGAGGGAGGCAGGTGCTGACTCAGCCATCTGCAAGGGAAGAATCTAGCTATGGAAAATCCTATAATCTAAGTTCAATTGAGTCACAGAAACAAGACCCCCAACTTTCCAAGGAAAATACTTTCAGTTGGATGTTAAGATGATGACCTGGGGCCTACACAGAAATAGCTTTCCTTTCTCTGTAACTGGAAGACTTTTCATAGGGGCTTAACCAAAGCCAAGAACACAAAGAAAAGATAAATGAGGAAAAGAGTTGAGTCCAAGAAAAAATTATTTCCTCTGTGTGACTTTATAATTTTTTTAAGTGGGATAAGATGATGCATTTTAAGTGTAACGTAAATAACTTAAGCACTTAAACATCTCCCCACAAAGAAAGGAATTATATTGTGCATTTTAAACACAAAGTTAGGGTATTTTGATTGCAAACTGCAGAGGGAGAAAGAGGCCTTAAGAAGTGGCAAGCATCATCTTTGGAGATGGACTTCAGGTGTCCTGGAATTCAAGCTGGGTGGGTCGGTGGGGGGAGGGGGGGTGCCCTGGTTGAGAGGGAACTGAAGCAAGTTACAGCCTAGGGATTAAAGGGCAGATGGGGCTGGGAGGGGCTGAGGGAAGAAATAAGAGTAAAAGACAGAAGGGGCCGGTAATTCTGTAATAACTCTGCTCTCCTACTCCAAGACCCCTCAGGGGTAGGTCTAGTAACCCACAGATAAGATGAGAAGATCAGGAAGGAGTAAAGAAATACTTGGTGGCTTTCATGTTTACGTTTTCAAAACGCTAAATTAAAATCAGTACCAAAAAGGAAAAAAAAAAAGGAATTGCCCTATTGTCTCGACTTCTCTATTGCATCCTTGGTTCTCATTCCACTGCGACATGCACACAGGCATTCCATAAAGGGACAGAAATATGAAGACACTTAGTCCAAGTGACATCAATAGAAGCAGTCGTACAATACAGATGACGTTTTCAACAGGAGCTCTGCCCGCTGCTACATTCTGAGGGCAGGACCCCGACTGAGTTATCGCTATGGGTTGTACCATCTTAGTGAATACATTTATAAAAACACAGCGAAAGTGGGCATGGATGGGCAATTGGTTAAATTTGTAATAACAGAATAAGATCAACAATTATTTTTCAAAAAACCATCAAGATTCGAGGCTCATTGTATAATAACACACAAAGCCTCACATACTTTTACTTGCCTCTTCTATTAAACCTAGAAATCAACATGACAGACAGACTATGGCAAAAGCAAAGGGAAGAGGGCCGGCCGAGTGGCTCAGTTAGTTAAGAACTCGCTCAAGAGTGCGAGCTCTGAGCAACAGCGGTTCGATGTCTGGCCCAAACTGAGCTGCCAACAGGTGGCAGGATGGCTCAGCTAAAAAAAAAAAAAGCAAAAGGAAGAAATGAGTGTAAAGAACGGAGCGGGGGTGGGGAGGGTGGCAGGGGCACTCACTGTAGCAGTGCTTTGGTCTTCCTGGTGGGGTCTTCTGGCTTGAAGTTCTTGTAGGCGTCCACTTCATGTTCTATGGAGAGCAACTGTCCCTGGAGTTTGTTCCTGAAGTTTGGCAGGGTATCTCGAATGTGGTTGGTGAGTTGCTAAATAAGAGAAAACAAAACCATACCCACGTCTAACAGATTGAAGACTAACTCTCTAGACAAGAATCGGCCTTCAATGTCTTTTTAATCACTCAAAATGTCAGAGATTATTTGAGACTCACTGTGGAGGTAGGGAGGTGAGAGGAAGTGCTAACACTCTCCTCCACTGCTCTAGGTGATGCTCAACGTACCTTCAATTAGAGGCGCTCACGGGGGCCATCTGGTATACCCCATTAAAACACGTCTAGTGGTACTCACAAGGATGCCCGATAATACCTTAGCATGCATGGATTTGTCACATCACCCATCTCGTCTAAAGAAAACTTACATTAGGATGTGCAAGAAATGAAGGAAGTGGAGAGATATGGGAGCTGCCTGATGCTCTTAGGACCACGTGGCCCCACTCTCCACCCTGGTGGGGCTCAGAGGTACCTGTCAGCTGTTAACTTCCTCTCCATTATGCAGCTCAGGCAGCTGCTTCCTCTGGCCTCAGTCCATCTGCGGCGGCGCAGGCTCATGCCTTCAACAAGGCGCATATAAAAGTGTGTGCGAAAGTGTGTACCCCAGTTCACTGTTCCTAAATCAGGATGCATTTCTGCTTTGAGCACTGTTCTTTCAATAATATTACGGTGGACTCTATTCACTGAGAATAGCAACTGTGGGTCAAAATATTTATATTCTTTTTTTAAATTCGTATCATTTAAGCTGAATGTCTTATTTTGGGGAAAAGTGAATATCAAAATAAGAAATATGAATTCCAATAGTCGCACATTTCATAATTGTTCTTGTTGCTTGAAAAGCAACCATTTTTTACCTGATTAAGGGCCCTCTGCAGGTGTGGGGTCCCCATCCGATCAGCAATATGTCTGTAAGCCGGATGTGAGAGAAAGAACTTCCTTTCTGCCAACATGGCAGCCTTAATGTCCTTCTTCCCATCTATGTCCTTCTGGCTCCTGTTGACCACCCCTATGTAACCTGAAACAAAACACACACCAGTGGAGTTTGGGACATGATCACTGCTTATTCTGGGGAGATTCCAAGGCCCTCCAAGAGGCTGAATCAGAAAGGCAAAATTATTTTTGAGGGCTAAGGCATGGGTCTCTTTACACAACTCAATCTGAGGCATCAGTATTTAACAAAGGCTGGCTGATTTGCCTACTGACAATTTTTTAGCACTGACACAATCATGTACTGGCCCTTAAAAGCTCTGTGCATTTTAATAGGGTACGTTTCTTAGCAGTTTGGTCATAGAGCGGGCAAGTCAGTCAGACTTAGGGCAGTATATATTTATGCACGTCATGACAAATATGTATACCCTCCCTGCAAACCCCTTCCTCTTCCTGTGTTCTCATTCCTGTCCTTTTAATGAATGGTTTTCCCATTGCATCATTTTTAATACATAATTCGGGAATATTGCGTCATTCCATAAAAAGCTGGTCATAAGCCCATTCCTCACAGCTGTGGGCAGCATGAAACGCAAACCTCCCATTGGTCTCCCAGTGGTTTCTCTGCCACGTCATCAAAGTCCCGTACAGGACACAGTACGTTACCCCTGCGGAGAGGCAGCAGTCTGTTCTCTAGGACGTCCCTGGCGTCCGTGCCTTCATCCATAAGGTCCAGCTTGGTGATGACGCCAATGGTTCTTAGACCTGCATCACAAACAAACCCAACACTGCACAATGTGAAGACAGCGGACAAAGTTTAGAGATGTGTAAATGCAAAGTAGCCATGCTCCTGGTCCTTTTCCTGTTCCTCTCTCTCTTCCTTCGTTTTCTAACCCTCTGCTAACCCCACTCTGGTGAATTCCAATGGGATATGGCACAGAGTTGCAAAATTATCCATCCATGAGATAACTTTCGATTCAAGGGAGAAAAAATAAACAGCAGTATCGCCCAAATACTCTAAAATGAATGAGTTTATTTTTGTACCATGCATACATGGAAATTATACATTTAAATGTTCCTCCCAGGTATTGCACATGACACAGATGCTTTAAATTTTTTATGTATTATGTTATTTAAAAACATAAACAAATGGGCTACACCTGGACCAATGATTAGAGAGTGTTACAAAGCAAGGCTTATTAATGATTCAGCTCTGAGCGCTGAGGTGAAAACTAAGAAGCAAATTAGGTATCGGATAGCATCATAACCAAACAAACCTGCCGCTCTCACAGCATTCATGCTCCTTAGAAAACGAAATGTGACTTAATAGAAAAAAAGACTGAACTAGGAATTCTGAGGCTTGGACTCTAGTCTCATGGCAAGTCACTTAACCAGTTAACTCTCTGGGTCTCAGTTTGCCTCTTCTGTGAAATAAAAGTCGATCACATGGTGTCTTTCAGTTATAGAGTAATGTAAAAACCTAGACATTTTATGTAGTATATCAGATACATTGCATTTGCCCCTTGCTTCCATCATTGGATAAAATGGACAATGTTTACCCAGTGATCCATATTTTTAAGTGCATTTCTTTGGACTTCCAATTAAACATGGCTAACGGAACACAAGCCTTTATCTTGTACCTGAAACCATTCTAAAATAAAAATGGCTAATATTTATTAACCCAAGTATGGTTTTAAGTGATTTCCATGTCTTAAATCATTTCATCCTTAAAAGTAGTCCAACTACTATTTCTTTTTTTAATGAGGGAACTAAGGCAGAAAGAGATTAAATAACTTTCCCAAGGTCATACAGCAGGGTGGGTCCGAGCAGTCTGGTTCCAGAGTCCATGCTTTTAACCAATATACTGCTTCTCACAGTAAAAGAATTAATAATAATAATAATAATAATAATAATAATAATAATAATAATAAGGCTTAAACCAAGAAAGTCAAAGGAAATGAGAAAGAAACACAGAAAAAGCTTGAAACCCAGCAGCATGGCTGATCACTAACTTAGACCAGAGGACAGGACAATTACATCCACGAAAACCAACAAGAGAACCCAGAGGCTGGGTAGTTTCCATCAGAGCATCTCAGGAAGGTTCAAGACCTAGGGAACCAATAGCTCTGAACATAATGGAGAGTGGTGGTGGCAGCTGAGGCTGAAAACAGAAGCATGGATGAAAGCAGTTGGATTTCCATGGACAGCATAGCTAGAAGCCCTGGTCCATCCGAGCAGGAGAGCACAGGCTTATTCTCTGGAAAGATTAAACTAGAGAAAACTTTTAATTCATATGCACCCAGCCCAGCTCTGGGGGGTCAAATATTAAAAGAGGGTGATTAAGTAAAACTCTATATACTGAACCGCAGGACCACCCCAACCCAGTCTAATTCCCTAATTTGACTGCTAGAGAGAGCTGGCTGGCAGGCTTTAAGCACCCAAGCAAGAGGTGGGAACAGTGATGGGGGAAATTAACCATGTCAAGAGGGACACACTGACATTCGGAGGAACCCCAATCAAAGCAGCCAATCAATCGTCCTACTGTGAAGCTTACCACTCAGTACACCAAGCACACCCACGAAGAGCTTCTAATCACCTGATAGCAGGTCCCTTTTAAATATGAATGGACAGCCAAGGAGATTCTCTAATATGAGAGCAAAACCAATAAACAATATAAAACAGAGGTTGGAAAAAACAAAGATAATGCAAAATACAGAAGAAAACTTTATTATTTTTATGAACATCCTCAAAGAGAAAGTGAGAGGTCATTGCATTCATGGAACAAAAATAGAATGTCATCAAAATAACAAAAACAAAAACTATTCAAACAAACAAAAAGAATTCTTAATAGTTAAAAACAAGAGTGGAAATAAAAATGTTAGTAGAATGGTTAGAATACAAAGTTAAAAACCCTTCCAGAAAATAAAAGAAATAGAATTAAACAATAGGAAAGGAAAAACTTTTTTTAAAACTAGGGCCGGCCGAGTGGCGCGTTGGTTAAGAGCTGACTTGGAACGCCAGAGGGCCCCGGTTCGGATCCCACATATGAGGGCCAGTGACACTGCCCTCCACAGCTAAGATGCTGAACAACAGCTCAACCTGGAGCTGGGCTGCCGTGAGTCGCCGGCGATGGCTAGGCTGCAGCCCCTGTGGCAGTGGGTTGCCATGGGCTACTGTGTGTAGCCAGCAGCCAGCGTGAGCGGCCAGCAGCCGCAGTGAGCGGCCATTTAGAAGCCAGCGACTGATCTGCCTCGCCCGGGAAGAACTCAATGATGGTGCCAACTTGGGCCAGTGAAGCAACGTCCTCCACAACTAGACTAAAGAACAAAAGGACAGCAACTTGTCTGTTCCCCTTCCCCCAATTCCCCAGCACTGTTCCCATCCCCCAATTCCCCAATAAAAATCTTTTTAAAAAAACTTTTCTAAAACTAGAGGAAAGATGCAAAAGATCCAACATCTGAAAAACTGACATTCCAGAAAGAGATTGAAGATCAAACAGAAAGAGTTGGCGGTGGGGGCATACTTTTCAAGCAAATGTCCTAGAAGTGAAAGATAAATTTATGGGTTAAAGGAACTCATCAAGTACCCAACACAATATGAAAAACACACACATGACATATGATTTCAAAATACTGGGAACAAATAAAATATCCTAAAAAGCTCCCAGAGAAGTTAAAAAAAGAAAGTCATAAAAGCTTGGAAATCACTATAGCATCAGCCTTCCCAGCAGCAAATTGAAAACTAAAAACCAATACAGCAATAATTTCAAAAATCTGAGGGAAAAATAATTTCTAACCTAGAATTCTAAACTATGGGTAAATGTGACAGTGGAAAAAAAAACAAAAAACTTCTCAAACCTGAAAAAGCTCAAAATATTTTAGTTCCCCTTCTCCTTTTTTGGGAGGAGGCTATTAAAGGATGTGTTCCTCCAAACATGGGGGCAAACTAACAAAGAAGACAGGAGTTCCAGGAAGAAGGAAATCCAATATAATGAAGAAAAGGAGGGAATTTGCAGGAACGCAATTGATACCTATGAGAATGAGAGGACACAGATTCCTGAAGAAATGTTTTCTCCTACCAAGAAAAAAAAAATGAAAGTGATAGAATACCTAATACCTGATATTTTTTTACAGTAGTAAGAGATTTTAGACTTCTGTAGGTGAGAATGGTAATGCAAGAATGATAAATATATAGAAAACCATGCAAACAAACAAAAAGAGAGACAACTACCAACCTCAAGGAAGACAGCATCATGGCAATGTAACATAATCTACCACACAGCACAGCTGCGAATAACATTTTCATATCATAGATATTCATTTAGCAAAATACGATGGTATAATTATACTAGCAGAATGGGGAGGGTAAGTATATACTCATATGTGTATACGTATATGTGGGTATAGGAGAGGGACATAAGACAGCTAAATCTTCTCCACAGTAGAAAGTCAAAAGAGAATACCTAAAAATAAAAATAAAAATAAAAATAAAAATAAAAAAATACTAGTATAAAATGTTACATAGAAATATGGAGGTACATTTTTTTAAAAAGGATGAAAGTGTTCAAAGTGGTAGCCTCTAAAAATCAGTCATCAAGAGTCAAGATGAGGAAGCAAGGGACTGATAGTTTTTATTAAAAGCTTTGGGGACTGATTTTTCTTAAAGCTATGTATATGCATAACTAATAAAAATAAAAGTTGAATTTTAAAAGTATTTTCTTTGCCACTCCCTTATTTCTGAGAAGGCATAGGAGTCTTTGCTTAGCCGAGAAGGCATAGGAGTTTTTGCTTAGCCGCGTGCCGGAAGTGGCAAAGGAGACCATTTTCTGTTTCACATTTAGTTACACAAATAGGCAGCTTAAAATCATCAGTGAACTCCTGCTGGCAGACGCCAGACCTACACCCGACAGATCTCAAAAAGCCCTGGCCCAAAAAGTCTCCAAAGGCACTATGTTTTAAAAGCACTTCACTGGGAATCTGAACTCTCAGGTAAAATAATAATAGAGACCATTTATGGAGCCCTGATAATGAGCTCGCTTCACCCAAGACGTGAAACAGCTCTACGAGATAGGTACCGTTATTTTCTCAATTACACAGATGAAGAAAGGGAGAGTTGGAGAGGAAAAAAATGCTGGTGTGAAGGCCCACAGCAGGCAGAGCGTGAAATCTAGGCAGCCTAATTCCATTCTTAATCGCTTTTTTCTGCCTCCCAATGCTTAGCGAGATTCTCCAAATGATTAGCTGTGGTATTTGGCAAGTTCCTTGTATCATCTGGGCCTGTGTCTCGATAGAACTAAAAGCTTAACTAGATGTCTCTTTCAAGTCCAGCATTCTGGGAAGGAGAACAACGTCCAGATTTAGAAGGTTATGTACAGTAATAAGAAAGGAGTAACTGAATAAAATGCTTGCCCTCCAACTAAAAGAAAACTAAAAATAATAAACTACAAACTACTAAATACTGTGTGATATTGTGTTTCAATTATGTTTCTCTTCGGTTAAAAACAGCCACAATGATGAGTGCTGATGAGCTCTGGTGAAGACTTTGAAAAGACACACAAGGCACATCAAAAACCTAATTCTTCTATAGCATACAGAGAGGCGCAGCGCAGCCCAAGGATCGGGCTGTGTGGCTTCCAATTCCACCCGTGCCCTTCAATTGGCTCTGAGATGTCAGTGTCTTCATCAGGTATAACCCCATCAGTGGGGTAACCGTACATCACAGCTTACATCTGATGCCTGGAAAAATTATTAAAAGCACCCCCTTTA